CTTTTTATTATCATTGACAGGAATTGAAATACGAAGTATGGATGGATGTATATGACATGCACAATAATTTTATTGATGGAATGGCAAAAGCTATCAGAAATTCATATATTGTTCTTATGTGCATTAATAGTAAATATAAGGATAGTTTTTGGTGTAGAAAAGGTGAGAAGATTTTTACTATTGAATAATATAAAAAACTTTGTCTATTTTTATATTTATAGAAGCTGAAGACATTTCTATAAAACAAATTAAAATTATTCCATGTTATATGGAAAAACCGTTTCGTACAGATGATTGGCTAGATTTTCTTCTTGGTGCCAATATCAGGATTGATTTCTCTCAGGCAGATAAATTCCATGAGTCATTTAATAAATTAGTTGAAGAAATTAATGTTATTGAGAAAGAATTAGATACATATTCTCGTAAGTTCTCACATATTTTCTAAAGATAAGATATAAATATATCATAGGAGGAAGTCCACCTGCCACTCCAATGAACAATTCATCAGAGAAAATTATATTAAATCCTACTATAGAAACATTTGATACTATTTTGGGTAATTTTAAAACTTGGATTGAAGAAAATCGTGAAAGTTTAAAACAATGTAATCGAAAACAATCTGCTCAACTTATCAATCAACTTATTAAGGTATTGAATAGTGATAATAGTTTATCCAACGATACAAATAAACAAGAATTTCTAAAACAATTACTTTTATCTACTTCACAAAATCATAATCATAATTTTACACAATCAATTAATAATTCTATTATACCAGATTATTTGATGGTCAAAGGTTTAGTATGTGTTATGGGACTTTGGGCTGTGAAAATTGTTTTTCAAAAGAACTAAATTTTTTCTAACTATTCACATTTTAGTTTTATTTATTTTTTATATTCAAATCGATATTAAAGTTTTTAAAATTAAACTCAGGTTTAAGTATTGTAAAAAAAAAGAAAGAGCACAGAGTTACAACTAAAGAGTTTGACTTTAAATCAGACATCGTTTATATAATATATTTTAAAGAAATAATGTTGAATTCTATACATATTTATTGCTACAAAACACACACTATTGTTTAAGGCTTTCCTCCTCCTACGAAATCGATTTTCGATACAATAGATGGGATTTTCATGACGCTTTCTAAAGATGTTCGGCTAATGAAAGTATACCAATAAAAAATTTTATCGTTCAGGAGATTTTCAAAGGCCGTAGAGTGAAGAATAGGACTTTCAAGCGTATAAATCTTTGTTCAATACACTTCAAGGTACAGTGCTCGGATTACTCTTATTTGAAAGAGAACTCCTTATTGGTTCAGATAACGAAAAGAATTTTTCAATTCTGTTTTTATTTCATTTTTGAGATTTCTTAAAACTCCAAAGAGTCCAGACAAAGTCATGTAGAAAATCAATGATCACGTTGATATTGAAGATCAAATATAAAAAAAAAGAAACGCAGTTCACTGCGGAAAACAAATTTGTTCGAAATTCGACAATTAATGCAACAAAAATCAATTTCAAGAGAAACGTGCGAACATTTTTTTCTATATTTATATGAAGAGCTTTCTGACATGAACATCAAATATGATTATATTACGTATCAATTAAAAGCTCATCCAGACTCTTATCGACTGGCCTTCTAGCGACATAAGAGGCGATAACTGCTATTGCAATTCAGAGACCAAAACGAATAAGAAAATTTCTATTCGATTCGATCCATGCAGAAAGAAAAAGACAATTCCTTCGTTGTCATAAGTAAAATATATATATATAACTCGCATAAAATTTCACTTAGGTTTTCGTGCGTCTATGAGATAAATCTATCAAATTTAGAGGAATTCGAAAGCTTCGAAACGGAGCTACAGTACAAATTAGAACTTGAGTATTATAAAAAGAAATGTCTATTCTTGTCGATCAATAAAGGTAGTAGTTATTGAATTTACATAATTAACACTAATATAATTATCTTCTTGGAGGAAGATGCACATATTAGGAAAAAAAAAGTCAACAAACTTCTATTTTTCGTCGAATTCTATCTCAATTTTCTGATCTGAACCGCAATTAGTAATCCGTAATCTTGGCTGAATCAATGTCGCGACCTTTGAATTAGAAAATCTCGATATTTAGTTTTGAGTCAAGTTTTTCTAAAGCTAGTTTGCATCTCTATTAGCGAATCACGATATGTAGAAGAGTAATAAATCATCAAACCAACATTTATTTATAACTGTACTGTTGATTATGCAATCAAAGCAGTAAACACACACTATACTAATAAAGAGTGTCCCATAAATTTTGGGACTCAATGAAAATTAGTCTATATGCAAGCAAAGGGTGAACCCTATCAAAGGATATTTATATGAACTTCGAATACTTAGGAAGATATTTTGAATGACATTATCTCTTTTAATAATAATGATATAAGCAGAAGAAAGGTAATAATTAAAATCTCGAAATCAATCAGTATCTTTTAAGAAGTTTTAATGAACTAAAAACTCATCGTATGTAATTGGACACAATTACACAAAGCGATATGTAGTATCTAGGGTGTGGATGTGTAAGTGTAGCTATCTTCTTTTTTACATCCTAATTATCACGTTTCTTCTGTTTACATCACTGTTATTAAAAGAGATAATGTCATTGGATAATATTCTATTTAAAACATCTTCCTAAGTACTCAAAGCTCATATAGATGTAGTTGGGCAGGAACCACTTTACAATACAATTCTATTCATCTATCGACTAAAAGAGTACAAAACATCGATAGACTGCTTAGCAGCTGTAAATATCTCATAAAACTAGAAAACTTTATCAGATGTGTGGAAAGAGACGTAATCATGAAAACAGCTGTACATGTATCTGTTTTCTCTAAAATTATGAATCTTAGAATAAATCAATAGAAACTGATTATTGTTACTGAAAATTTCGATTTCTGTTGCAATTATAATTTTTCTATGAATTTAGGTATTAATCTCTCTGTGAGAGAGCTCAAGAAATTTATCATAAACTGTAGAGAAAACTTTTATAATTGAAAATCATTTTTATGAATTTTCGAACTAGATACTTTAGGAACTATGCCAATATGTTTGTCTCAAAAATTTTTTTTTTTATAGAAAAATCGGTTTTTTTTTGAAGGGCCGAAGGCTATAATTCAACAACAACAAAAAGAAAATGAAATAACATCAAAGTAAAATTGTCCGAATATTTCTGGAAGAATATATACCCAGTTTATTTGACTGATTACATTCACGTTCAATGACATCATTTAATGTATTTTTAATCTGAGTAGATAAACTTGGTGTAACATGTTGACGTAATTTTAATAATTCTTCTCGAGTATAATGATATCTTGATTTTTTTGTTTGAATAGAAATAGGTTTTCGTTTTTCAACAGCTAATAATGATTCAAGTAAAACGGCAGAACCTTCAACATTTTCAGCCATTGATAATAATTCATGATGATAGGATTTAATATATTTTGAAGAAAAGGAAATATTTGAAAGATGCGTAAGTCGTATACGAGAAGCCACTTGAGAAATATGTGAACAAAGTGTTATTATATGATCCATTTCTTCATTAAGAACTAATGAAGAAGTTGACGATAATGTTGTCGTATTAGACATGAATGTAACATGTGATAAAACTACACACACTTTTTTTCAAACTAAAATGTAACAATTATCCAGAAAACAAATATGGTTTATTCCCTTATTTTTTTCTAAGCTGGAAGTTTCATAAAATGATTCAGATAAAGAAAAAAAGATATTTTTTTTTCTTCATTGAAAAAATTCCTCAGTCATAAACATTTTAGACAATAATATTACGTTTTTTTTTTCTTCCTATGAAGTCCACATGTGTGCTTTATATTTACCTGTTAAAAAAAAGGTAGTAATCATTGATAGCTACTATAAAAATAAAAATAAGAAAAAAAAAATTTATGGTGATGTATTTATACCATTGTTGTTTGTCGGTGAAACTTAGTTTTGTTTAGAATTTAATTAATAAACAGCGTATAGATTGTGTCTGAAAAATTCAAATTATGAATAGATTTATTTCTTCTTTATATTTTATGTATATAGACATTAAATAGATACTAATATGTAACATGTTGTATGTGTTTGTAATTTATAAGATACTTTAAATACTTTACTTTAGTTTAATGTTATTTATTTTGATAATTTGACATGTAGAATGAATATTATTGAATCTAATTTAATTGGAATCTGAAACTTTCTATATTCTCGAACATTAGATCTTGAAACTTCATTGTTTAACTACTGATGAATAACTAACCTGAAAAGATGAATCGCTCTGTATACATAGTTACACATAAAATTTAACCAATTTCTCATATGCAAGAAATGCAATAAAAAAAGAGAAGAACTTCAAAAGCAATCTATAAGAATACCAATTAGTATTATAAACTTCCATCACTTATTCTTTATGAACGATAGTACCAAGTAATTATTTTAAAACACATCGAATAACATTATTCTGACTGTATTCATATATAGACAAGATAACTTCTACTGCTCTTAGCCATCAGTATTTTTACTGAAAACGAAAAATAATGAAATAATAAAATAACTATGTACATACTGTTGTAGGTAAAAAGAATGTAATCATTGCAGCCGATTGTGCAATAGTATCACGATTTAAAATTTCCAACATTAGAAAGAATAGCTACATAAAAATTATCTGATTATATTTTTATCAGTTTGTAATAAATCTTCTAAGAAAAAAACATCCAAAGTATTATTGCAATTAAACAATAGAACATCTAAATTTTATTCTTATGAATTTACGCTAGCCGAAAATACTCCATTCACGATATTTGTCGATTAAAATAATTCTTGCACGATATCCAAAAAAAGTCCTCTATTATCGGTATGTCACTGGTACTTAGTCTTGATTCTGCTGAAAATTATCTCGATACACGAGTACTTGAATGTATCTGTAAGATATCTGATCAGACACTTCATAAGTATCTAACAGTTTGTAGTGAAAATGTTTTTACATGTTAGCTGGTTCATCAGTCAGACGTATCCCATTTTCGTATACTCAAATACTGGAAAGTATCTATGACATACAGATAACGAGGAGCCTGTTCAGATACTCTCAGATCAGTAATTTCGTTAATGAGGAAAGGCTTTCAATTAACAAATCGCTTTTTGAGTTGAGACTATGTGCATGATATAGATCCAAATGAACTATGAATACCCTGAAAAGAGTGCGTGTACTTAGCTTATTGCTGTGGAGATATTGCACTTTTATACGATATCTTTGAAAATGAATGCTGTGATTTCCATCAGGAACATCAGAAAAACTGATTTGCAATTTGCAACTTTGCATAGATTCAAGTTTTAATGAGAATAGTTTTTTATGAATGTTTCAAATCTTGTTGCTGTTCCTATCCTAAGATACAAGTATAGTAATAGTGTATGTTGAACATTGTTCATATAAACTGGCAGATTTGATGTTCTTATTTCAGGATAGAACCAAATTTAAAAGACCAGACACTACTCTCAGTAAGATCTGTCTCCATACAAAGTTTCAAATCGAAAGCAGAAAATCCATGTTGCTGGTACTTCTGAGAGAAGGTGACGACTTTTATTTTAAAAAATATCGTAAAAGTGCAGCATCTTCGCAGCAATAAGGTAAGAGCATGAATTCTTTTCAGAGTATTCATAGCTCATTTGGATCTATGTAACGCATATAGTCTTAACTCAAAATCGATTTATGAATTGAAGGACTTCCCTTGTAAGGTAGTTGATTGAATCTGTTCTTATTAAGACAAAGAATATACGAATTGTATTGTTTTTCTAGATATCATTCTGGATGCTCTTTTAGCCATTTTTTATACTGTGTTCAACAAAATCATATTTTCAATGTTTTTTTGTCTCAAGTCAATCTTGAATATAAGATAGTTCATTAAGCAATTCTTACATACAACATTCTCGTTTATTTTTAAGATGCTGTTTCTACCGCATCAGAAAAGTATAACTATAAAAATGGATTTTAAGGCTTATACATTATATGAGATTCCTTATTAATTAACTCAAAATAAGAGTCAATAAAAAAAAAAAAGTTTCTCATAATTTTTATCGTTGTAATGGTAATTGTATTAATGTTATTGATGTTGTATTACTTCTTGATGATTGTCGTCTACTTATTAATTTTGTCATTATTCTTTGTTTAATATTATTCCAAAGTCTTTGTGAAAATAAAAAACCAAAACAAATAAATACTCCTGGAAGAGAATTAATTATTTCAAATATAATCCATGACCAAGTTTGTTGAATAATAAGTGCAATAATCAATAAAGTCCATTGTAAACCCATTAATGATGCTAAACGAATATAAATAAATATATGATTATTATTATTATGATTCGATAATGATGATGATGATGATGCCATTGCTATTTGTGCTATTCTATGTGAATGATGTATCGCTAAAATAGTTTTAATAAATAAAATTGCAATAATCAATAGTAAACAACCAATTGGTAGAAGAAAAAATAAAATCATTGCATTTGATTTTGATATTGAACAAAATAAATATCCATAATTAGGTGAAAATTTTGATTCAGGTTTTATAAATTGTATAAGACATGCAATAAGAATAATAATACCAGTTAAACACCAAACAAGAATATTATAAATTAATAAATAATATTTATCTTTGTTTATTTTTTTACGTTGAACAATTTGACAATTAAATGTTGAATGTATATGTACAGCTATAATTAATAACCAAAAAAATGATGATAAATAAAAATAATGAATTAAAATAGCTGATATAAGACAAAATGAAGAATATTGTATAAGATCAGATGTTGAAATAAATAATAATTGTCCAATAAATATTGAAATCGAAAGAAATAAAAGACATTTACCAGGAAGATTATGTAATGATGGAATTAAACAAAATGCTATTGTAAAAATAACAAGACAAACAAGTGATATTGATGTACAAATAATTGTTAAGATATTACGATAAGATGAAAATATTGGTCGATTTTGTTTCTGTTGATCAGGACAAAAAACAATTTGATAATTACTAATAAATATATATTGATTTTTATTTAAAAGAATTGATTGATCATTAATATATAAACTTCCATTACTATATTGACTATAATCTTCTGATATTTGTATTGGATATGAACATTTCATTGAAATAATTATTGGTTTCGTTGAATTTATTATTTGAGAACATTTTTTTAAAAGTAAATTATAACGTTCATTCGGTTTTAAACAATTATAACTTAATGAATAGATCATTTGAATTGTTGAATTATTATCAAAATCATAATTTAAATAACGTTCAAGAAGATTTGGATCAAATAATATTGATAATGAAGGAACACGAACTTGATTCATTGGAGATATACTTGAACGTAAATCTGGATCCGTACATGTAATATTATTATTATTATTATTATTATTATTATTTATATTATTACATTCTGCACAATAAGGATTACGATAAATAATATTTGAAATAATATCATAACGATAAGCAGTACTCGATAGTGAACAATTTCGAGCTAAATCAGTTGATGTTCCCAAAAGACATATTGATGGAAGTGAATTTTTACAAGGTCGAATAAAAACTGAAGGTCGATTAGTACCTTTAATACGTGGATAATTAATTGTTTTTGTACAATGTCGTGTTAAATTATGAATATAATAATTAACTTGTTCTTCTTTATCTAAAGTCATATAATCAGAATGACTTCCATTAGCATGACAATTTGCTTTATATTCCCAAAATTGTATATTTGATTTTTTCTCATTATTACAATATGCACAATAATAATTTCTATAAGTTATATTTGTTTGTGTATTTGTAACTGGAATAAATAATAATGGATTATCTTGAAATGTTTGATTATTTAAATTTTGACATTTAATATCAGAAAGTGATCCATTATAAATTGATAAACATTTAGTACGCATCCATATAAATAATGGATAAAATTGAGAAACTTTTTTACGAAATGCTGGTGAAAGAAAATCAATACATTCATAATTATTTCTATTAGATAATTTTGATGGATAACAACAATCATTATATTCTTCACAAATAGAATCACAAAAACAATTTCGATGTTGAATAAAAATTTCATCATTATAAATAGATGGAGATTTTAATGTTGAATTTGAACAAGAATCACGAATTAAACATTGTTTATTATTATTATTATCATCAATTGTTAAACAATTCAAAGAAGAAAGAAGAATAAAAAACACATAAAATAACATTTTCTTTTAACAATCCTATTGATTGTCGAAATGTTTTTATTCTATATAGATTTTTTTGATCTTGTCAAATATCAAGTTTGACAATAATGTTCGTTATTTTTTATAGTATAAGACAGTGAATAATCATTCGAGCTTGTTGTTTTTCTTATGCTATTTATTTGACAACAATTAAACGGAAGAAGAAGAAAGAAATTATATAGACTTAATCGCCAACTTTTCCTTTCCAAACGACATTCTCGCAAGACTAATAATGTCTGCTTTAATGATAATGCCATTCATCAAATAAAGAATTAAAGCAAAGAAAAAAAGAAACATAACAGCTTATGCTGATCTAATCAAAAACATCATGAAGTACATATTAAAAACATTTACATATAGAAAAAAAAAAAAAAGAACACGATAAATACACAAGGCGTGATAAACTTTACAAAAAAACAACAACAACAATAACAACATACAAGAGATATAAACTTTTGATAAATTTGATTGAATTGATTTTATCTTCTGATGGTGTTTTGTCAGTATATATTAATATAAAATGTTGCACATGTATTGTATGATTCAAATCTATTCTTCGTCAAGGCTATGATTTGTTTTGAGGAAATGAATAATAACTACTTTTCAATTAGAATCCGATTTAGTAGGATCTATTCTTAAAATGTAAAACAGAAAGATCTTGAGATCTAACTGTTTCGAGTAGTATAACACGCAAAACTGTAGAAGTTTAGTATATGCAACTGAATCGATTATATGTAGGTATATGAGTAAAACAAAATGGCGAATGACTGCTTAGCAGATAGATTAGCGATACGTAATGTAATATATTTTGTTTTAATGTGCAATTCAAATCGATAAGAATCAATTGATGAAGAGATATCTATGGAACTATTTTGTATTTAAATAATTGAAGACTATCAAAGATCTTAAAAGAGACTCTTTTCTTGTTCGACACAAAATTTTCAGATTTTAATTTTTGTGTTTTTCTGTTGCATTTATGTTTCGAAATGTTTTCTATCTACCAGATATGTTTCGAAAATTAACATACAACTGTAACAGTCAAAGAATATGAGAACATAAAACGTCTTTGCTACAAAAACATCACGATATTATCAATAATTTTAGTTTTCCTGGAAAATTAGATTTTGACAGAAATAGTAGTGAATCATCTCCGTTTTTCAAGCACAGTGCAACCAAGTGAACCAAAAGTTTTTTTTCTACTAACATTAGAAAGTGTTTAGAATGGTTACTTTTATTTGTTTCAAAATATCATGTACCACTGCGTTTACAAAAAACTCGAGTAGAAAAAACATGTATTTTGGAGACTACTTTACGGATTTTGATGTTGTTATTTGAATAGAAAGAGATAACAAGAAACCAAGAAAGGATGGACAATCCAAATAGTGTCTAGTATCTTTAAAAAGCTTTCAATTGTATGAGTCGTATGATGACTCAGAAAAGAAGACGATAAAGGAATCATTTTTAGTGTTTGTAACTTTAGTATTTTCTACAGAGACGTGTTCTGGAATATTTTTGATCTATGACAATTTTTACTTCATTTATCGAGATCTATCTACTATGAAAGTTGTAGATTTTTCTAATTAGCTGTTCTCCATGGACTCTGGAACGGGTAGTCCCTTGAGCTTGTAGGACACCATTTTGTGAAAGGATTAGTTATTTGAATAAGAAAGAAAGTGATCAAATACACCAACATGCTTTATTTAATCCCTACATTGATATTTAAAAAAAAACATTCTGGTTTTAGCAATTTATCAAGTCTTTTTAATATTAACTCTTTATAAGTAACTAAACTATAATTGTAAATTATGTGCATATTGATGTTTGTGACATGAATTATCAGAGAAACTGATAACTATTATTAGTAAAGGATATTCATACAATTAATGGATAGCCTTGCTATTCTAGTAATATTGCAATTAGGCATGTATCGAACCCGAATGTTCGGGTTCAATCTTAACTGCCATTATTTCCAGTCAATTGATAAAAAGAAGTAGAAATAAGCCAAAAGAAAGGATTTCAAGCTTGGCTATAGTAGATCTACACACAATGGAATAGATGACCCAACAACTACACGTTTATAGGCATACTAAAAAAAGTCAACAATGTTCAGAAATATTTGAACCTGAACACAAATCTAACCGAACCTTAGGCTGCCTATATGATTAATCATATACTTCAGTAAAAGCTTTACCTAAATACTTGGCGCTGTCCGAACTGGTTGCATACTTTCTAATCCCGAACACCAAACCAGAACTCGAGTTTGGTGTATGCCTAATTGCGATAATAAATTTAATTGAATCGACTAATCATAATTTAAAATTTAATTAGGGCGAAATTGTCAGTATCATACTATATCTTGATCACTTTCCATTCGATGTTATTCGTGCAAAGAAGTATTTCATAACTACTGTCTATTCAAAACAATTAATCTGAAAAATGACTTGGATATTTCTCTTAAAGAATGATATAACATCAATCTTTGTCAATACTATTTTTAAGGTTAAACTATTTGTTTAAAAATAAGTGAAATGTATTATCTGTCTACAGTTACGAAATCTATATTGTATAAATTATATCGAATTCAGTTTTTATCCATCTTTAGTTATTTGTTTTTTTTAATCTTCAATCGTTCCTGATCGATGGAAATATGAAGATTAAAAACAAAATATTCTTTTTTAGATTTGAAATTTATAAACTAACTAGAAAACTACTAGAACTGATACCCACCGTTTGAGCCCATATTGAGTTCGCAGGGAAGTCTCAATAAGACTAGAAAAAATCTCAAAAGGATTCGTGCCGACGGGTCTCTGGAGGTGAGTTAAGACCGGTTTTTTGAAATTTAATATCTTGACAACGAAACATTTGTTTCGCTTGAAACTTTCATGATATTTTACTATGCATTCGACTTATTGATGGGCGAAATTTCAGATCGAAATACCTTTATTTAATTTTTCGGTAAGTATCTATAGGTGGATTGAAAATTCAATAAAATGGTCATA